GCTCTGAGTGCTGCGCCTGTTCCTGCGAGCATCCCCTCACACAGAGCTCAGATGGGCCAGGCTTCCTCCAAAGTTAATTACGGCCACAGCTTGCATGGAGGCATATCATTAGCAGTAATTGCACACGGCATCCCACTGCCATGTGCCTCCCTTTTTTTTTTTGTCCCAGATTTACGCTGCACTGATCCATGAAAGAGCAGCGCACCCCTCCACATGCTGCGAATGGGAACATGGTGGATGGAGGCGAAGGAGTGATGCAACTCCAGGCCCTCTGTGTGGGAGCATGTGGGAACATCTATCTGTCAGATCCAAGAGTGGGTTTCAAAGAGGCTGGGGGTAAAAATGTGGATGGATGATGCAGTTTCACATCAACCCCAGGAAATACAGGGATTACTGAGAAGCAGAGTGTTTGTTGTGTAAGCATGTGTATAGGTGTATGTGTTTTCATATCAACAGTGGAGCGGTTGTTCACTCCTGCTTCGTTGTGGAACTGGTTGGAACACGTTGAACTGTGAATTGTGGATTTCTACATCTAAAAGCAATTAGCCCGCTTCGTCTCTACAGTCAGGGCAGGCAGATGGCCGAGGCCCAGTTTAGAGAGATCCACTTGTAAAGTAGGCTACTGCAGTACACCACACTCCACCTGTATGGAGATGAAGCTCTGGGATTACATAACGCTGAGTGGTCCTCAGTTACAGAGTTACACAGGGTACTCTACGGTGGCCCTGAGAGCTCCATGCACTGCACTTTAAGAAAAAACACACAGCAAAATTTAAGGCTGTCTTTAAAGAAAATGCAAAGAAATAAAACGAGCAGCAGATGGTGACTGCCTGTTTTATGATCCGATTGCTTGATTCAGATATTATTGCAGATATCTGCTACACAGATTTGTAGATAAAATATAAGCTACATAACGTACAGGCTTATGTAGCCTATATCATCATGGAGTAACTACAGCAGTCACAGTTTGTATGTCTGCATGTTCAGTAGTTTTAGGTGTACTCTACTATTTGGTTGTATTGTATGGGTTTTATTATGCTCCTTATGTGTTGTATGTTTCCTTGATCGGATTTGGGTTTACTTGTGTGTTGCCTTTAGTTGCATTAAGCTCTCAGGGCCACCGTAGCTACGAGCCAGGGATGGTGGAAGTCAGTCAGAGTTGGGGTTGCTGAGAGAAAGTCGGTCTGTGTAATTGATGAAACACTAAACGCTACATTCTTCACATTCTTGGTTTTGCATTCATTTGAATGGTCAGGATTATTTATAGCCTATTTAATTATTATTTCACACACATTTGATAACTTTGGCAGAAAAACAGGTTAGATCATGTGTTGGATTAAGTGTTTGTTTGCATGTATCTATCAGTGAATGTCCAAATCCTATCATATCTCAGCATCACAGATAATATTGGACTATGCATGCCAAAGTGTCCATTGTGAATAAACTGGATCAGACATTTCCCCCTCCACAGTGGAAGGCGATATTGGCTCCACTTCAATAAAAACTGCCCCCAGCATGACGAATCTCCCCACAGCAGTCTCTGCTGTCCTGCCTGCAGGTCTCCCAGCAAACACTGTGTCTTTGTTTGGCCTATCTTGTGCATACGTGTATGTGTTTGTGTGTGCTTTCACTGCTACTTTTGGAAAATGTGGCGTGCCCGCCTGCCTGCATTCCTCCCCCGGAGCCTCACCTGCACAGTGTGACACTAAGCAACAGCCACTGAGCCAAACACAGACTCAGATGGCGAGGACTCGCCTCCGGGAAGAGCAGACTTAACAGAAACTAGAAAAACCCACACAGACGCTTCAGCTGTAATAAACAGAACCAGATGGGTGTATCTGAACTGTAAATCAGGGTTCTATGTCCACTGCGCTGTCACTGACCTTTATATGTGAATACCGCACAATCAGCTCTGATAAAGGAGCTGCTTTCACAGCGAGTGAGTGCTGCATGTGATAATCTAAAGGCTTTCTAAAGCCACAGACAAGTTGGGTCTCAGCTGGGCTTCAGGTCTCATGTAGTACAGTGTCGACGCACTTGTTGGAAGCCCTGCCTTTTCTTCGTGTAGCTGAATGCAGAAATTAGTGGTTTTTAAATCAGTTTTTGTAAAACAATGAACTTCTGACACACAGGAAGCAGCGCAGACCAGCAGTGGAGCCGTTTCTAACTGTGGCATCAGGCCTTCAGTGAAGGAAACAACACAACTGTGATCCTCTGAGGGGCAAACTCACTGACTACCACCCTGAGAAGAGGGAAATACACACCGTAGGATTCTTTAGCAATGATCAACAATCCCACCAACCCTTTGCAGACATACAGGATGATGATCATTCTGTGAATCAGCTTTACTCAAAGCAGGCTGTACTAAAATGTTGTCTCCTATCATTATTCAACCTCCAGTCCAACACAGCATTCATTCAGGCCTCCACAAACTCTGGGAAATGTCATTTTTAAAGCATATACAGTTGTATTTTTACATTTTGGAAGTTTTTTATCAGACTTTACTGACAGAACGTTTGGCATTATAGAGAGAGTACGATGGGAAGATTGATGCCACTTAGCCACAGCCTGGAGGCAGTTAATTTAGCTCTGCCTGAAGACTGGAAACAAAAGGAAAGAAAACCTGCCTATCAGCATGTTTAAAGCTCACTAATGAAAGGTGGGGTCAGTCATTCTGGAGAAAGATAGTGGACTGTTGAGTCTCAGTTGGCAACCCAAAGCGTGTTTTACAACCTGGGAATGAGACTCAACAATCCACTATCTTTCTCCACCTTTAACACATTATCTACTGTTTGTTCAATCTGCAGATAGAACTTCTTCAGAGGTGCTGGTGGGCAGTTTTCTTTACAGACAGAGCCGTGCTCGCTACGTCTCCCAGCTTCCAGTCTTTCTGCTAAGCTTAGCTAATCATTTCCTGGCATGAGCATTGCATTTAATGGACAGACAGACGAGTGGTATCCACCCTGTGCACTGGGGGCAAACTGGACCAGGACTGACTTCTAAACTATTTGTGATGCCACAAATCATGCTCGTAGGCCCCGCCCCTTTAAAATCAGATGTTCAGTGAGCTCAGAGAAACTTTCCACTTTCAGCAGATGAATGTGAAAACCTTCTTCTAGAGTCAAACTCTGCACACACATCATCCAAACATCACACTGTGGGAACAAGAACAAACAGATTTTTGAGTGGAGGGGGGCTTTACAGCTACTGGTGAGCTAGTGCTCTTATTGAACTCTTCATACCAGTAGCTATGAAACTGGTCTATTCCTAGAGTATCTCTTTATTACCTCACAGCCTTTTTTTGGCATACCCCTGTTGAATCAGTCAATATGCTTTGGGGCAGTTCGGGCCAAGGGAAGCTGAGTGGAGAGTTATGAAAGAAGAGCAGGCCTGGGGGCGGGGGGGGATCTACAGCTGAGCCTCTATAGTAAAATGATCTGATCAGGAGATAGCCCGGCGAAGGTCACCTCACCTTCACTGGCCTATCAGCTGAGCTCCACACACTAGTTATGCAACAGACATAGTTAACCACTCCTATTTATGAAACGGAGGCTACAAATCAACACGCGTGGCAGAGCCACAGCTGAGGGAGGGTCCGGGTGATGGGTGAGGATGGCAGAGGGGAAGACACAAGGAGAGCCTATATCCTACAGTGAACTCTAACTTAAATGGTTCCTACATCCAATAAAAACAGGAAGGACCAAAGGCAGCAGCGCCAGTTTATCAGAAAGGAAACTCCAAACTGAAGCATACTGAACAGGATGACAGCACACACGTGACCACAGAGAAATCAGAACCTGAAACTGATCTTAAGACCATGTCTACACACCGCTTGGAAAGAGTAAAGCAATAGTTCCGCCAGGCTAGCGTTTCCCCCCCCTATGTTTCCAGTCTTTTTGCTAAGCTTACACGTGCTTGCAGCAGTATAATTAGTGGTATCGACTTTCTAGTCCAACACAAGAAAGCAAATATACATATTCATCAAAATGTCAAGCCTTTAAATATGCACACCCTGACAGGCTCAAGAAAACAGCGAGTTCAAGAGGTGAAAATGATGAAAGAAGACAGAATGGTGAATAGAGTAATGGCCCCCCGGGTGTTCCTGATCAATAAATACTCAGCGCTAATAAGCAGCAGCCAACAGGAGTCGTTAATGAGGCTCAGAGGGTATTCATAAATTCACCATTCCCCCTTTCAAATACATGAAATGATGCATTAGAGGACCACTCAAGCAATTTAGTATCATACTTCAAGAAAGTTGGGGGACTTGTGAGAGACGGATGAAAACTAAACTGAAGCAGAAGAGGGAAGGTCCCTGGATCGCACTGGATTCCCAGCAGCTTCCATCACAGCCCTTCCTGGTAACGGTTAACTTCTTTTAAAACTCTACATCATCAGGGTTGTTTTTTTAACCTCATTCTGGGAACTAGAGTCACTGAACAGGTTGAGTATCCTGGTTTCTGCAGGTCTCAACAGGTTCAATTTTAGACTTTTAAAATCCAATATGAAAGCAAATTAAGACGGTGTTCATTGACCCATACCGGAAAAGAAAAGTAGGAAGGATATGAAGGAAAATCGGTATTGGTTCTGTGCCTCTCAAACTCTTCAAATGACCCTCTAGTTGACTCATATATAATTAAAATAAAAACCTTTTGTTTGCAGTGGAAATACTTCTAGAACATTGCACTTTCTTGTAGTAGTTACTAATGTTGAATTTACCCTCCTGTGAGATTACAATATGAGCAGTGGCTTGAGTTTGGGAACAGTTTTAAGGCCTAAAATTAAGATTATTGGATTTCTTTTTAAGACCCTGTGGACGCTCTGGAGTAGTTCTCCTCACAAAGAGTAAACTGAGGCTTTAGATTAATGTGTAAAATTGGTGACATTCCCCTTTAACAGGACTTAATCTCAATAGTTAATGCTTTTTTACCCCCTTTCAGCAATTCAATCACTGTCTTCTGCTCATCGATGACAAAGTGATCCATCCACAACAGCGCAGGTATTGCTTTATATTTTATTTTATGTACAGTACATGTAAAAAAGAAAACAAAAAAAAGTAGCCAATAACATTGACCAACGTGCGCAACAGTAGATAGCCATGTTGCTCATACACGGGAAAAAATCCTGACGACCGTTTCCCCTCTCAGGCATACATACATTTAGACTCTCCCCACTCCTCGTTGTGCAAGGCTGCCTGGAAACTAGCCGGGCTTGACAGCAAACAGTCAAACCGCGGATTATCAAACTGGGAGGAGTGCGTTACCTGCTCCCCCTAATAAACACACTTCTCCCACTGACAGCCAGCTAGTTTTCAGCCTCGAGCTGAACAAAGTGTTCCCAGAGAGGCGGAAAGGAGACAGGCTGGTTGGCTGAGCGCAACTGTGTGTGTGCAATCTTTTTCGGTTAAGTTTTTTAATACAGACCGGGGGCTGTGCTCGACAGCCGTGGTCTCTCGCCTTCACTGCAACCCCCCCCTCCCCAACCCTCCCTCCCCCGATTCCAACAGTGCCGCTTTCAACACAAAGGTCACTAAAGGTCAGCGTTGCAGTCTGCTTTTGCCGGTTGACTCAATAACTGCAGGCTCCGACTAGTAGCGAGCTTTTCTTCAGCACACTCAGCAGTTGAATTCACAGTATTCTTACAGCATGTTGGTTTAGTTTTTTTTTCTCCCAAAGTCACTCATAAAGCTTTAACTGATAATGCATAGGGGGCTTTGACACGTTTGTTCACCCATGTTTCTCCAGTGGAAATGTTTAACGTGGATTTTTGTAGTAGTATAGTGTGTGTGTGTGTGTGTGTGTGTGTGTGTGTGTGTGTGTGTGTGAGAGAGAGTCAGACAAGCTGAGAGAGAAACAAGTCAAATGCGAGAATACAGTGTACACAACCATCCGTGTCTGGTGTCCCCAAAAGTCGTACAATAAAATAAAATAAAAAAAGATTTTTTTTGTGTGTGTATCTCCAAGGCCAAGGATAGTCAACCACAAAGACTTCTGAACTCCCCTGCTGCCTATCAGGGCTGTATCTCGCAGTAGTGTTTCAGACAGTGAGCTTACAGCAGGCCACCAAGGTACAGATAAAGTGCTTTTTTTTTCTTAAATGTGACGCTTTAAATAATGAAAGTGATGTAAAAAAAAAAAGAAATCAGGAAAGAGTTGGGGGGGGTGGTGGTGGTGGGGGGGTTTGGGGTGTTCGCTGACACTCCTAAAGTTAAAAATGAAATGGAAGAGACACACAAACATGATTCTGGAGAGGAATAGAGTTCGGTATAAATACATCCACAGATCCAACTAATGTCGCAGAAGGCTACGAGGAGGGAAACACTGACTCTAGAAGAGCTGGAACAGTCACTACTGTCTCTGGATGGAGCCGTTCACATTTTCAGAAGAGGATTCTGGGTAAGACTTTTTTCAAACCGTGGTCAAACGTCTCGTATCCAAGGGGGGGAGAGATTATTATTCCTTTGAAGATGCCACCGGCTTTCCTCTGGCCGGAGTTTAGACCTCGCAGCGAACACATCAGCGGCGGGGGGGCCGTGATAATGACAGCAGCAGACTGGGAGGTTGTTTGTTTGTTTGTTTGTTTGTTTTTTGCGAGACTGTAGTAGAAGGGTGGATCATGATAAACCATTACAGATAATAAATACATTTGGGTCCTTGTAGTGTCGTTATTCGGCTCTATTGAAATATGATTAAATCTAGAAAATAAAATAAAACAAAAAAAAAAAAAAAAAAGGAGGAATTGTTTAGTTCATAGTAGACCATGAGATGCCTGGTCTTTTTTTTCTTCTTTTGCTCCCTTATCCAGTCTCAACCACACTCCACCTTGGCGGCCATTTTTTAACCAGCCTTGTGAAGAAGAAAAAAAGAAAAGAAAAAAAAAAAAACGGCATATAAATAGTAGCCGTGGCAACCTCACGTACTCCCCTCCCGGGTCTTGATGACAGAGTCTGAGAATTCAGAAAAACCAGTCCTCTAGTCAGTCCTCAGGCTTCTACACAAGAGAGAAAGAAAGAAAAGAGCACAAAGTAAAGACAATGAGCAAACAAGACAGGTCATATATGCGGTGTACAAGCCTCGGCACTGGCAGAGCTGTGGTTCTCAACGTGTCATGTTATTCATCCGAAGACTCGGGATGCACTGCGAAGTGAACGTCAGCTACTTTCCAGCCTGCTGAAACCTCTGTGTGGCTGACAGAGCAAGAAAAACGCTTCCTTTATGAGCTCTGGAAAAAGTACCGCATATAGGGCCCGTCTTAACTCCTTGCTGTGTAACTTCTCAACTACAACCAACCTCCTCTTGGCTACCGAGCCCATAACAGGGTAAACAGAAGGGCTGGGAGCTGCCCGTCCGTCTCTCCTATCACTCAAAGGCAATATTTAACCTCTGAGTGCGAGTCGAGGACCTGCCGCTCGGCTACACACAGGAGAATGCATTAGGAAACCAGGGGAACCAGCCTGGCATAGCCGCAGTGTGCTTTTAAGACATGGCACAGAACTTATTTTTTTTATGCACTTGCAGTAATACCTTTGCTTTCATTGTGCTGAAGCGGTGCCGTCTATTCGCTGGGACTCTTCCCTGAAATGAGCCGTTTTAACAAGCTGTTCCTGTTGACAGTCGGCAGTACAGCCTGTGCCTGCATTAAAGCTCATATTAATGTTTGTTTTGCTGCTTTTGAACACAGCGACTCCTTCATGACATGAATGTAGCTGGGCCTTCGACACGGCAGAATTATTGCGTAAATATACGCAGGTTGGTGCACAATCAGTTTCACTCAGCTCACATTCAATTAAAGTTTAACAGGAAACGTCATCGAATGAGATATTTTTAAAGAAATCTAAAGGGCAGGGCTGGACAACATAAGACCTGAATGCATCACTATTAGTAGCCACATTTACAAATACTACAGATAATGGTGTCTCATTCAGTCTGCAGGATATTTTAGGGTATTGAATGTTATTAGCAAACCAGTCGAGCATATGCAACTCTGACTTCGGAGTTGCTAAACTCAGACATTTAATCATTTTGTTCCCTCTTTCTGCTCCCTCTCATTAGCAAAGAGTCGCAGTGTACAAAACATTCAGGTAGCAGCTTCTCATTTTTAGCCGGCGCTGACTGTCACTCTCACGTCGCCGCCGGCAAGTTCATATCAGCTGACGCTAATTACCGTTAATTCTGTGAGTAACTTGATAACAGGCCAGAATCGGGCTAGTCTGTTGCCTGGTTAATGTGCTTTCTGTTGTTTTAGCAGCACTGACGCATCCTCTCCAGTAATACTGCTTCAGGAGTCACAATCTTCCAGTTAAACTTCCACAACACCATATCAGTAATTGAACCAGTACTTTCCTATTAGCAGCTGGGGGAGAACAGGAGGCTCCTGCTGATATTTCAATGTGTCAGAGAACATTTCACATCCTCTGCTTCTGTGTCTTTCTTTTAGTTTATTAAGTTCTGTTGTATTTTCCAGTTTCATTCTTGTTATCACCAATTAGACCGTGGCTCACAACCGTTTCTTTTCAGCCTCGAGACTTCAACTGAATCTCTTGAGTACACACGTAGGTTACTTTCAAAGTTTGACCGCTAAACCAGAAAGATTCAAAAAGCAGATCTGATACAGTGCTCGGACTGGTTAACGTGCTATCTAATCTCCACCCCAATCTGCAAAGCCTCAATGCTGCATTATGCTTCACTAATGCATCCCTTTTCAAACTGCTGTGTCCTTTATTAGCTTCCTAGCAGACCCTGTGTTTCACAACTCTTTATTAATCTCCTAGTTCAGTCAGTCAGTTTGCCGCTGCATCTTATACATAATGTATGTTTAAAGATTAAGAAGAGATATTAATGCAACTACTTTAAGAAAACTGTGCTCCTACATGGAGTAGTATACATCCCTGCAAACGCCTGTGTAGTAGACTGCTCCAGCTTTTTCTCTCCACACACACACACACACACACACACACACACACACACACACACACACACACACACACACACACACACTATTGTACTGTCTTTATATGATTAATGCACCAGAGCCCTGTTACAACATTTGGGTCGTTTTTTTCTTTGTTTGTTACACATAAAGTAAAACTACGAGTTGGACTTCCTCTGTTTGTACGAACCCACACAAAGGACACAAGCACCTGCTGAGTGACAGTGAGTGGTTGCTTGTATGTAGGGAAACGGGGTCTGTTGTTGTACTTTCAGGGGCAGTGAAGGGGTCAGAAAGAGTTAATGAAGCGAACATACGGACATGACGTAAATTAGGCAGGTGAGAGATTAATAGTACTAGTTATAATTTATTGCCCAGCCCTATTTTAAGTCTTAAGAAGGACACATTTATCTACAGGAACATCCAACTGTTATGAACTGACCTACGTGTCGCAGTGGGAAAGCAGCGATGTAATCTCTGGGCTCATGTGACCCACGGCCTTGGCTGCCTCCAGGATGGCTCTCCGGTACATCCCTTTCTTCTTGCGGTTGAAGCGGGACCTGAAGAGCTCTCTGAAGGGCGACAGTTTGGCAACGGAGAGCTGGGAGGTGGTGGGCGAACCGAACCACGCCACCTTCGCCTGGGGCCACTGGGCCTCGCAACTGGCCGTCTCCTGCTTGCGGGTGCCGCTGATGCTGAGGACGCGCGCCGGCCACCAGGGGAAGCCGTGAATCTTCCCCCACACGATGTCGCCCACCGCCACGGCGTGACCCTCTTCCGTTACGCACTTTGTCATGCTGCGGGTGTGAAGTCGCACCGTAAGCGGCGGCACTGTCTTGCAGTCTTCCCGTGAGGGTACAGAGGATGAGGTTACGGACAGGTCTTCGCCTGGAGCCAGATCGCACAGTTCAGGTGAGGTGCCGTCAGAGCTGAAGGACTTGGACTCGTCTAGACTGTCGCTGCTGCAGACCGACAGGCTAGAAGAATCTGCTTTACGTTTACGGAAATTGATGAGAAGGGTGAGGTCGCTGTGGCCGCGCTCCGCCTCCTCGCCTGAACTCCCCGACCACAACTCCAGAGAGTTCTTGCCTTCCCCCGAGTCTTCAGAGTGGGGGAGGCAGGGGCCGGGCACCCTGGGGCTTCGTCTCCTGGTGCCTCCTACAAGTTCTGCCTCATACTCGACCACGCTCTCCTCACCCTCCCTCTGAGGGGGTCTCAAGTGCATCTTTGGAGAAGGCAAGTCCTGACCCACGGTTGTAAAAGGCCTGGTTAGTTTGAGTTTGGGAATGGACACGGTGAGGCCAGACCTCGTGGCATCTAGAATGTGACGCTGCTCCTTGGAGGGATCTGAAGGCGTCTTGCCATTTTCTCCGACACCATTCTGCACCAGTTGTTTGGGGCAGAATGGCTTGACCGAGCCGTGGACTCTCGAGGGGATCTTTATGACCTCCCCCTTGCCCTGTGGAGTACTGTATGAGATCTTTATGACAGGACTGTGAGGGATAACGTCACCTCCAGGGAACTTCTCCCCCTCAGCCTCTCCCCTTTTGTCCTTCCTGAGGCGCTTGCTGTCAAGGCTGGTGCCGTTTTCACGTCTCTTAGTGTCCTTGGTTGCAACTACATCCTCTTTTCTCGACAGCTTAGAGGGGGTATCCTTGTCATCGCCCTCATCGTCGCTCTGTAGTGCATTCTCTTTTCTAGAAGTCTTAGAGTTGCTCATGCCGTCTTTGCTGTCCTCGTCGCTATTCAGTGTGTTCTTGCACTTTTCACATAGTACCTGCCGCGGCCGCAGACGGATAGTACTCATAGTCATGCGCCCGGGCTCTCGCGTTCGCCTCTTCTTTCTCTTGATTGGTCGCGGAGGGGGCTGAGGTACCCATTGGCTGTAGCTGTGGCGCACCCATAAGGGCTGAGGGAAGGGGGCTCCTTCAAAATAAGGAGGGTAAGGAGTCTGTCCAGCTGGCACTGGTGTGGGTACAGGGCAGGGAAGAGGTGCAGTAGGTATGCTGCTTTCAGGGAGAGTGTTTTCGTCCTTTGGTCTGTGTGAAGCCTGGCTGGGAGATTTGGAAACCGGTTCCTCACTCAGAACTTCTGTGATTTCACAAGCTGGTTTAGGTATCGGGCACTCCTCTGGTTTTGCTGTGAAATCTGGTAGGCAGAATAGCCCGGACCTTAGATAAACAAGGGGGAGAGAAAAAAAAAAGGAACAACAAATGAACAACTGTGTGTCTCATTAGAGAGCTACAGTGCACTTCAGCCAAGCCAACACAAACATTCTTGTTACAAATGACAAGCATTTCTTGAATTTCTTTTTTAGTTAAGCAATTTCCTCACAAGAACGATATTGGAATGCCGTGTTTGTATTTCACCATGTCTGATAATTCAAGGCCAGTGGGACAGAACAAATCAAAAAACCTTACGCTTTCAATTAGGCCAAAAAAAGAAAAGAGCACTCAAAAGCCTGAACTGCTTTTAAGTACTCTGATCTTTAAGTGACCGACCAGAAATAGCTATTTTACTATTTTGTTGTTTGACTGGGACTCATTGACACTAGTCTCCCTGTCACCTGTGTGCTGAAATTCTTTAGGTGTGGGGGTTGGGGTCCGCGAGCACCCAGGCGGTTATCTATTCTGCTGCTGCCTTGGGGCACGCAAACAGAGCAATAGTATCACTGACTCTCTGAGTTATTTTATGTGCTCTTTTTCATACTCTGGGACCAGAAAACATGTCCAAAAGTAGGCCCCAACTGCCAAGGAGTCTTTGAGAAAGGTGGCTGGCAGGCAACAGTAACATGGCTGTGTTGCTTTAGTCAGGAGACAGCAGACAAAGAGACTACAGGATGCCCAGGAACCCCCCTTCCCCAACATCTGACTGAACAAAAACAATCCCATGAATCACTCGGGATTCAGAGATGTAGGGGAAGGAGCCAGGAGATTTCAGTTTGTTTTTGCATCCGTGTGTCTACTCAGGGCTTATGTGTGGTGGGATTATTAATTAGTGCACATTTGGGGAGCCTGTTTTCTTCCCCAGGAGAGGTAACTGGCAGGCATCTCCGAATAATAGTCTCCTGGTGGGGCTTGTTCCTCTCACCTTTTTTTTTTTTTTTTTTTTTTTAAATACGCGCACCTAAAGCAGCCCGAATATTAGCCTTCACAGTGATTGACACGGCACAAACAGGGCGGCCTGTGACAGGGAACATGCAGTGCTAGTTAAGCACAGTACAAGGACGCAGCATATGACCAGCCGCGATCCACCCCCCACCCCTGCACTGTTGCCATTTCACGTTGTGTACAGTGTAACTAGATGCAGAGATCTGCCTGAATGATAGGCCTAGACGATGACATTAAAAAAAAAAAAAGAAAAAACGCCTGTGGGAGACAATGACAGGAAATGTATTTCCATGTGCTGAAAAGGAAGAAGAAGAAGTCAAATTTTGTCAGTGACAAGGCCCTGAAATATAGGCCCTATTCTAAGTTATTCCAAGGCCCTGCCTTTTCCCATTTGGGTGGGTTATTTTCAGGACAGCTTGAGCTCTCACATGAAAAACTATCTAAGCATACTAAGGGGCAAAGCTGGTCAGATTCTGATTCTGGTTAGTCTATTAATAGTCTAAAGCCAGTGGCTTTTAAAAGGTGCACAGGAGCAACACAAGGCTTATACATGTGACACACACACACACACACACACACCAAGAGGGGCACATAAGACAAGACACAGATACATGTCAAATTATACATATATGGGGGTTGTTTGGTTGTATTATATGCACATGATTGTGTTTTCTAGCTGGCAAGAGAGGGGCCTTTTCTTGTCAAACACACAGCCTAACATGGTCACTGCATCTCATCAGGAGCAGGTTTAAAGAAAAAGCATCATCAGTTGTCATCCATCACAATCCCACATGCACCTTTATAGCCATTTTCCATTGTGTCTACAGATCAAAAGTGGGACTATTCCTCCAAACAGCTGCTGTATTTCCAGGTTATCTGAATTGAAACATCACTCCTGAAAGCTACTACACCCATTCAAACACCATCTGCATGTGTGAATACATCCAAACACACCTGATGTACAGAATAGTGTGTAAAGGCAGTGAGTACGTTTGAGCTGCTGTGTATTTTGATTAGGCTAACAATAAGCTATATAGATGAACCCATTGACTTTAGTTATTGTTCAAAATAAGTCACTGACAATATCTGTAGACAGGGCTAACTACCTCCACATAAAAAGCATTTCACCACAGTATAAAAACGCATTTCACCATCTCCATGTGGGCTGAAATAAAACCCAGTTTGCCATTAGCCGACTTGTTAGCATTTAGCTACAATAAACCTCTTTTGTATGGAGGCCCGGTGAGCTAACGGCTAGCTCCCGACTGCTTAGCATCAAAGGCAGATTAGCCGTTAGCCGAGTTGAGCTAAATTAATTCCCAGAGATAAAAAAAAAACACATAAAAGCAAAGTAAACGGAAGATAAAAACACTCACTTCTTGTTGCAGTCGAGTAATATCCCCGTGTAGCTCATTTCTCGATAGGTCAGCGTCACCACCAGTGTATCGTTAACTATTTGATCGATAGTGACAGGTACCCGAGAGCCGGCCCGCAGCTCCTCGGCCACAGCCTCCATGTTTCCCGGCGTCAAGTGTCCGGCTCGGCGGTGCTCGATCCCGGCCAAGGGAGCCACGGTCGCGTCGGCTAAAGATCCGTCTCCCCTTCGCTATTGGAGCAGGAGGCTACACCAGGGCATAAAATGACGCCATCACCCCCACCAAGTCAATTACAACAGTACTGCCACCGCTGACATCACGCTCTCTGTGCTGCTGGAGGAGCAGAAAATCTCCCAAGACAAGGCCTACCCTTCCCCTGCCTCACTTTGGCTCTCACCTCGGGGATGCCTCCGTTTTTCACAGCGAGGAAGAGAGGCTCGTTTTCTTTATGCACTGCCATTACAACCCGGAGCATGGATGGAAGAGACTGTGGATGCGTTTTCTACCATGTTGTTGTTGTTGGGATTTGACTAAATGTGTGCTTTGTGTGGAGCATTCATCATGAGATATATATATACACACATATAAAGTGGTATTTAGTTATTTGAGTTTATTTATTTATGTTGGATTATCTGACATAGGAGAAGAAACAATAATCCAAAGGATGAAAAGTGAACACACTTGTTCCTTAAATGATAGGAGACAAAAGAAAAGACATTCAACATAAAAACAACTAAAAACAATATAGTTTTGAGATTAACAAGCACATTTACACAAATATCTATAAAAACTATAATAATAATAATGTAAATTGAATTTATTAGACACATAAAAGGAAACAAAAATCAAAAGGATAACATGTTAAAGTGGAAGACAAAAGAAACACAAGATATTCAACAACCTAATTCCACAAAATATAAAATGCCTCCATCAGAAAACAAAGTATATATATATATATATATATATATATATATATATAACAACAGCTATATATGCTGCATAAAAAAGTCCTAACCTGACTTCTATAAGTCCCTCTCATATGTAAGGAGGGCTGTTCCACAACATGGCACCAGTGTAAAACCAGGAACTTCTGGCTACATTATTCACTGGAGGCCCTTTACACGATCGCACACAGGCCCGGGTGTTACACTTACTGCCGAGCACATTGTTATCTGAGGAGCAGACCCATTGAGAGTATTGTACATATGCAGCAGCTTCTGTTGTCCTGCTCTGAGCTGTACTGGCAGCAGTCCCACCTTTCTGAGTTCATCTCTACCTATTAGTGTCCGAGGGGACCAAATAATATTATTTTGCATCACCTGCAGTTTGTTCCTAAGTTTAACTGTCAAACCGCTATAAAAAACAGAACATTAATAATCCGAATTACACTGTATGTAAGTTTTCTGGCACATTTAAATAATATTTTTATCAGCAATAAATCAGCATTTGTCTGTGAAACACATTCAGCTCCATTACAAGAACACTTTCAATGAATTGTGAAGACTTTCACAAGAGCACCAAGTGTGATTTTTGCTAAAAAAAACCACCTGAAATTCCTCCACCCTCAAAAACTATTATTGTATAACTAAAGATTGTGTCGATTCTATAACCTGATAATAAACAAAAGGTGGATTGAGCCAAGGTTTACCTTTATGGTGAGCCAGTAACATTTAACTGAATAGCTTCCTTCTGACACATAAGTAGCAGCACCATATTTACTTTGTACATATTTGAGGTACTAAATGTAAACACGGTCAGGTAAATGTGAACATGACTACTTTGTATAATGGTTGTCTTACAGGGAAGTAAAAAAGAAAGAAAGACGGAAACAAATCATGGAACATTTCACAACTCTCTTTCCCAGCAACAGCCTTGCAATCTTTATTTTGAAGCGCATTACAGTGGTGAAGGGATTAGTCTTTACAGTCAATTATGAGTGTGAATTCAATACCACAAAACTCAGTTGGAGTGACTGCCATTATAACCTCTGTCACTGTTTCTCAAGGAAACTCTGCCAGGTGTCTCCAGTAAAGATAGTGAAAGAATTTCTTCCCCGATTTCTTTTCTTCTCCAGAAGCCGAGCCTGTAACTTCCTCATCTGTCAGAGCAGGAAGAAAACAAAAAACAAAACACACATTCATCAATGGATCGATAACCGGTGAGTTCAGTATAGATGGGCTGAATAATGGAAGTATGACCTCTTCCACGTCTTGCTCTGCCGCTGCCATCTGCTCGGTGGTCGTGCCCCTGCGATTCCTGCGTCTCTGCTGCATCTTCTCAACGTGGGCAGAGATCTGCCGCTCCAGCCTACGGGCCGATCTGGAGGGCCAAAGGTCAAAAATTTCATACCCAAAGACTGAACATCTAGCCATTGGTATAAGAGACTTTATGTCTGATGGACAACTGCTTAAAAATGCAAGCCTGTGACTGGCTGTTTTCTCCTTAGTTAAGCTTTTTTTTCTTAGTTAATCAGTGAAAACGGAAGAATCTAAGGTGTACAATCTTATCTGGGTGGTCTGTTTTAGGCACAATGTTGCCTCAAGAAGAACAAAAGAAACTGCTGATGTATGCTGGGTGTATAGTCTCTCTTTGTCCACTAGGTGTCTCTAGCTTTCCACCTGCATCTGCATGGCAATTCTAGATAATGCAACATGCCAAAAAGACCTGTTGTCTCTGTACCTATATGGATCACAATATTCTGTATCACCGAATGCCCAAGATATAACAGACTCAGTATGTACAGCAGTCTTTTCATCAGGCATACCGATGAGATGAAAAACCCATTATGAATTATTGATTTTCCCTTATTAAATCTGTACCCATCACAGAGGAGGTAATGGAGATAGAACAGAAGCATTCAAGTTTTAGGGAGGGATATTTAAACTCTGAGATACGTTAGATGTTGAGTGAATATTAGGTAAATGTCCCCAGTAACATTCAGTGTTAAAGCTACCAGTCACACAGACTAGGAATGTAAAGATATATCACGATGCAAATACTGTATGTGAAGATTCAAATTCAATCACTTTTACAAAGAAAAGTAAATATTCATTGTTTTGCAGTTTATACTCTGCAGAAATAAAAAGGATTCTTTGATTTCATAAAGACATGTTGTATATTGTTACATCCATAACACTGACATAACAAACTAAAAGAACATTCCTGGCTAATGCAGCAGGTCTCATTCTTATACTGGCTCAGGTTTCAGGTTATGTAATAGTTTTTTGGTCTGTAGTAGACATTATTTTGGTCACCCAGAGTTCCCATTTACCTGTCCTCCTCCCACTCAGTGACAGAAAAGCCAGGCATCTGAATCCGAGGAGCATCACTCCTGTCCTCATCATCGGGCTCGGAATCGGTTTCTGCTTCCTGTAACACAGAAGGGGAAATGTTTATTATCATGTACGACCACATTTTATTCTAGAGAGCTGTGTTTGTGTACATATGGGATGATACAGCTGTTGCGACACATCCTAAAAACAACACAGCCTACAGCTGCAGTGGCAAAGCTGCAACATAACAACCACATTGTGTCACATCACCCAAAGGGGGGTTGGTTTTTGTGATGTTTTTCAGTGAAGATTTACACTCATGTTGCTGCTCCAGTGCAAACATTACCAGCCGCTCTTCAGCTGTATGCATGGTAATGTATCTGACAGTCAAATCACTCCCAACCATCCATCTGCATTGTCTACAGTTTGTGCGTGCCTGCATGTATACATCAGCCGTGATAGCTTTATGCTGCTGCTGCGTGATCACTCATGCAGCGCACTCCGTCACAAGCACCGGCATCTGTTGCTGCCCCTCGACAGCTACTGCCTGAGAAGTCACTTACTGGCATCAAAATGTTTTATCTTGTGGTAATTTCATATCTATTGTTAGAGCTCTGGCTGCAGTGTGACAGAGGTGGTGCTCTACTGCCCCCTGGTGGTTTGTAGGTTGACAGGTGGAAGTGTAGGTGATTTATTCCACACATACCTCTCGTTTTCTTTGTCTTTCATGCGCCTTCTGCTTGCGCTCAGGCATTTTCTTCTCCTGTGTGGTTTGGGCTTGTGTGTGCCACTTCCGAAGAGCCTCTTGGCTTCTGCGGGAGAGCCAGATAACAATGCACTGTAACAGATCTAAGTCAAGGAAAATGGTTCTTGGGCTATTGTGTCTAAATGGTTGCAAAGGGGTCTGTAAACATTGATTATTCTTTCTATCTTTACAGAGTGAACATAATATGGATTCCTTACTGTGGGTCACCTGGGTAAATGCCAATTAGCCCTGAAACAACATGTTGTCTTATCTTTGGTATTACCTGGCATGAATATTCTGCACAATTCATGCAATGTAATTTACTGTGCAACCTGTAGTGCAGCAGGAGGGTGAATAGGGTATTATTATCATGTTGAATTTTATCTTATAGCAGAAATCAACTTACGTTCTTCTCTGCTCGAGAAGAGCTTGTTTCTCTTTCAGCTCTTTCATCGCAGCCTGTTTCTTTTCCTCTGGCCGCTTCCAATGCTGAGTGTCAAACAGAGGGAGCTCGGGAATTATGCCGGCCTTGGTAGTTGCCTTTTTTCTGACAAATTAATTGAAACAAAATGCTTTATTTTTATTGCTCTCCTGAGCTCTGAGTCCCAGCGGAGACAGCCTGGACGATTTTTATCACTTTGTCTCTGCTGCAGAGAATGTCATTAAAAAGTGTTTTGCTATCCTTTTCCAAGGCACAATGCCATGTATTTGGCCCTTCACCACAAGTCCAAACCTCAGCACAAAAGTTATCTACTGAAACAAAAACCAATTCACCTCCTCTGTCCTACTATCGGATAGCATTAACACTTTCAAACTTCATTGCACAGTGTGTTTGAGCAGGTGAAAAACGAGGTATGCCCAACAGATATTTGCTGCCTGGATGCATTGTACAAAAACAATGGCAGGAGCCATTAAATAACTAGTCATTGTGTTCTCTCTGAGCATGTGCAGGTAAATATATACGCTTTCACTCTCTGGCTGAGAGATGAGAAGATCAATACCACTCTCAGGTCTGTCCGTCAAACATGAAGCTAAAGCCAGCAACCGGTTTGCTTAGCTTAGCATAAAGACCGGAAACAGTTGGCCTTCAGATGTCCAACAGTAACAAAATCCACCTACCGGCACCTGTGAAGCTCGTAATTATATCTCGCTTGTTCAATTCTTAAGAAGTGAAGTGTAAAAACGACAATCTGTTGTTTTACCAGGGGTTGTGTGTGTGTGTGTGTGTGTGTGTGTGTGTGTGTGTGTGTGTGTGTGACTGTTTCTTGGCCAGGACCAGTTGTCAGGCAACTCCAGGAAGTTACTGGTCCCTGTCGAGGTATAATTAGTTTAATTTAATCATTTGTGAGCTTTAGAGGAGCTCGTAGGCAGCACATTTTGTCACCTTTGGACAGAGCCAGGCTAGCGGTTTCCCCTCGTTTCCAGTCTTTACGCTAGGCTAAGCTAACCATCTCCAGGCTGTAGCTTCATAGTTAATGTACAAATATGAAAGTGGTATCAATCTCTTAGAAATAAGTGTATGTCCTAAAATGTCTTTTCACTGCAAAACCCTCTTATTCCTTCCACACAAACACTTTCACTTTGCTTACCTTTTGGTAATAGCAAGACGACATGACTTTGGGTTTCCATCCCCCCGTGCTACTGAGCCCAGCTCAGCTTTGTCCAGCAGGATCATCTTCTGTTTAAGTTCCTTGAATCTCTGCAGCTCGTCCTCATCCACTGACTCATCCTGCTCCTCCATACTGGACCCCATCAGCTCTGACAGCTGGAGCTTCTCCACCACTGGCAACTCTACCAGTGAAACAAGCACGGCAGCTGTATAACGTGGGGGTCAGCCAATACTGGCAACAATCATTGTTGTCTGCAGCTATAGTGGCTGGTAGAAGCACATGACAGTAACTGGTTGACTATCTGATATTATTGTCCAACTGCAGCAAAGATATGCCAGTGTTTTACCAAAAGATTTATACAACCAGATAAAACATCCCTTTCTTATTGCAGGGCAGAATATGTGGCCCGCAAGTTTTTAGTGGCTACCGGCTGCGTGTACATAACATAATATGACTCAAACGGGCTAAATGCTTCATGTTATCGCAGCTTAAAAAAGGTTGATGACAATGCAGTATGCAAATGAACGGTGTTTATTCAAATCTGCTAAACTTGAGCCAATTAATTGAAAGGAGATTTCCCCCAGGAGACTGGAGCCCTGCCTTTGTTAATAACCTTGTAGGCAAGGAGATAAATCGTTTGATTGAGGGGTTTGGCTCCGCTCATTGTGCAGCAGCAGCCTCTCCTGTGGAGGGCCGTCTTGGGCTTCTCACAGTGATTACCTCCAGACAGTGCTTAGTGACAGAGAGCTCCTGTTTAGAGCCCAGAGGTTATCGATCATTTTCATCTGGCTAAAAATATTACAGAGCTGGAACGGGGGGGGGGGGGGGGAGAGTCAGCCGAGTAGCACGCGCCGTCTCCAAGGCAACAGAAGTCACACCAGTGAAGTGGTACCAGGGCAAGGAGCTATTTTTGTGGCCAGCCGTCCTATCTTTGACAAAATGAGCAGATGGCTAGAACGCACGTGCATACTGAACGCGCTGCTGCATTGTGAAGGTGCATTTTGATTTACCTGGGGGGGTCTTCCTCATGCTAACGGGCCGCTTAGCCATAGCACTCCTGAGGAACTGGAGGATGCTCCGGAGCCCCTGGTTCACAATGTGTTGCGGAGGGAAACTGATGGGGCAGTCCCTCAGGTTCAGGCCTTTGAGGGTGATCACGTTTCCTGGGAAAAATGACACAGATAAAGAATCAGTTTCAACCTTCCAACTATCTTACATTCTGTATATGCCTACCAACGTTAATGTACTGCACATGCAAACGACAGTGTATTAGTAACAGTTTCAGTATCAGTATTGTGTTTTCTTTCTATTAAAGGACCAGTGTGTAAGATTTAGTGGAGCAGTGAAGTTCAGGTGATTATGCGCTATAAAAAACAAAACATACCTATAAAAATGATATTCCATTCCTGCCAATAGATCCTCCTAAATGTTACACCCTGGCTGGACCTTTAATGAGTACTAGTTATTCATTACACGTAATCTAGATCTAAATTTGGTGCCAGTGAGGCTTATTGAAACTGATGAAACAGAAAGCAAGCTTGATATTTCAAAAAGGAGAGAGAGAGAGACGTTGCTCGATGGTAAAGGTGACTGAACTCACCCAACTCTGGTGGGAGTTCTGAGATAGGATTTCCCTCCAGAAGTAATGTTTTCAGAGATCTACAGGAACAAAATCCTAGATTATTAGATGACATTTATTGACTGAGACACATGTTTATTCACAAGGAACATGAGGAACTTGGACCTTAGTCATAAAGAATCTAATTTTGCCACATTTTAGAACCATAAAATGTGTTTTTCAGAGCAGATGCTACTAACCAGAACTCTACAAATCTTATCTATAAATGTTCTGAAATATGGCAAAGAAACACCGAGGGGTCTGGAATCATTCAGCATATATTTCAAAGAGCAGTTGCATAATAACTACCTGTGCGAGCCAATTTCGGCAGGGAGTGATGTAATTTGGTTATTTCTGAGGTCCAGCCACAGCAGGTTGGGCAAGCTGATGAACAGTGAATCTGGAATACTGGAGAGCTGGTTGCCTTCGAGATATAAATACTGAAGATGGTACAATGAACAGTTAGAATCAACACATAATGCAGGAGAACAAATTACACAGATATATATAAATCGCTGTCGGCCTAATATTCTACTGGATGCATTGCTGGGTTCTTGCTTGAAAACCACTGCAGCAGATGTCGCCAGGTGGGGAGAGAGAGAGAGACGATGACGAATGCACACTGAAATCCAGACTGACCTTTAGTTTGCTGTTTTTCAAAATACTTTGTGCAACATGTTTCAGTTCAGTTCTGCTCAGACACAATGTCTCTGTTGAGTAATATTCAGAGAGCTCCTGCGGCTCAGCATCCTCAGGGGGAGTGTGGGGGGTCTGTGGTTTGACAACACTGTTCCCAAAGACAAGCTGCAGGCCAGGAACCTCCTCCTCCTCCTCCTCCTCCTCCTTCTTCTTCTCCGGTGAAGACATTGTAGAAGAGATGCCGAGATGTTCACACAGGCGTTCAAGTGTCTTTTTGCAGTGGCATTTTTCTCCCTGTGTCTGAAAAAACTAAAGTAAGTATCACATGGATGGGTTTATTGTAAAGAGCCGAATTCTTCCTCGTGTGATTTTAACTTGCAGACAAACAGGTGTTAGCTATTTAAAATAAATGAATACAATACAGAATAATAAGATGGTCCTATAATGTACATACAATAGTAATACAATCCAGAGACCTCTCACTTTGTTAATAACATTAGGACTGAAGCACGGTGAGACAAAATATAAACAAGATGTACACACGTGTAACAGTTGTAGTTTTTACATTATTTAAGATTTTTTTACCAAGAATAATGTAAAATTAAAAAAACCCTGACCCTAATTCTGTTGGTTGTTTTTATCCTCTTTTTAAAAAGGCCATTTTCATCGTGTTTTTTTTTTATGTTGAGCTATCTGTGTTCACAAGGAGACGCAGTTACAGAGGAACTCAGCTTCCTAGCAGGGTTTGAGACCATCAAAGCATCACAGTAGTTATTTTTAGGCAATTATTTCACGACTTTTATGGTCTAACCCTCGGACAAAATACTGTCTGGACCTTGGTGACCTCCGTGGTGGGTACGGGGCCATGCTCAACAGAGGTGGCAGTACACAATAAGAAGTAAAGGTACTCGTTGAATCTCCTGCACCTCCATCACATGCACATTGGATTCAGGTTTCACGTTCTTAAGCTGGAGAAACTCTCTGAAAAAGGTCTGGGGCCCCTGGTTACTAATTAATATTACAGTCAAACCCCCCAAGAAATAATTACAAGTTACAACCTTCCTACCCATCCAACAATCCAATCACATCCATTGGATTCATTTGTTACTGTGGAGGAAACTAGTTTGGACGATGGAAACATTCAGTGGCTGGAAATATTCACATTACTTTGATTTTAACAAACAAAACTGGATTTTAATCGTCTTTAACTTTAAAAGTCTGAGTTTGGAGGAGAAAGAGACACGATTACCAATTTTGTGGGGAGTAGTGTAACTGGCAGTGTAATTAATTACTGTTGCCATTGAGTAAAAAAGTAAAGTAACGTTAATAACATTACTTTTGAAAAGAGTAATGAGTAATAAATGACTTGTCCCCCTCCAGCTCTGCTCAGTAAGAGGTAGGTCGGTGAGTATTGGCCCATTCCAGGTGATAAATGTCACAACACAGCAAAATACAGCAAAATTATAAAAGCCAGAAGTGGAGCTGAGTAGGGAGAGCCGATTGGGAACAAACAACAAAACACAAAGAGGGTTAATGTATGTTAACGTGTTCCCATCACTACATTAACCAACAGTATCACCTGTATTACCGTACCTGGAATATTCAATAAACGTGCGCGTAACCCGTGAACGCCTCTCCGCGCCTCCTTAAAAACAAACTGTTGTTATGTGAGGAAAAGAAAGAGAGAGATTAAAAAATGAATCGGGGCTAACTTTTAGCCACCGCCTCACGGGTTTGACGACGTAACCACGGCAACGAGGTCAACACAAACTACGGCGAGAGCCCACGTGTCAAACGTGGCGAATGCAAAGCAGAAACCCTGAGATGTTTGTTTGTTTGTTTGTTTGTTTCATTATATCATATGTTATATGTGCAGTGATGCAACAACAGCGTGTGTGTGTGTGTGTGTGTGTGTGTGTGTGTGTGTGTGTGTGTGTGCGCGCACTGAAGACAAAGTGTTAAATCCTTTTTCCCCCTCAGTGATCCGCCGGCACCACCCATCCATCTTCTAATGAGATTGTGGAATAATTCACTGAGGGGTTCATTTGGGCTGGAGGAGGAGAGAGCACCAGTTTTCTGCTGGTAACAAGCGATAGGAGCCTCCCTCCTCACCCCCCCTCCTCACCCCCTCTCCCCCCCCCAGCCCCAGCCTGCACTCAGATACCCTGGCTTCACCTACAGAGGATGGTCCTTATGTGTTGATATGCATGACAGTCTGTGATACAGAGCTACGTCGACTACAGTCACTGGCCAGAAACTGTCACACTACTCTCACAACTGTCAAGTTACTCTGACTAGCAGGGGGAAGCTTCCGGTTATCACTTTCAGTATAAAAGTCTTTTTGAAGCTTACATTTAAAGAAACAGAGGTGTCACATTAAAAAAAAAAAAAAAAAAACAAAACATATTAGTAACTGATACAATAAAACGTTTTTCTTATGTTTGTTTTGTGTTTAATTAATTATCTTTTTGTGTTTATGCATAGTTTTGTCACCACTATTTTAAACTGAAAACCTGGACTTCTAAGAGACAACATCATTTGTATTGTCCGAAACATGTTTTTAATTAAATTTAATTAAAGTTTAAAAAGTCCCCGTGGCAAAGTAAAGTAAAGCATTTTTTAAAAAAGATATAAATCAATTTTTTCTTTCTTTACTGTTCCACTATAGATTTTTACTTAAGTGCTCTATAGTTCATAGTGGAAAACAGGTATTTTAATATAAATTATACTAATTTTCTTGCATCTACTTTTCCCCAAGATTGATTAGATAACATAAGATGTTCCTTTACTGATCTCCCATAGGGAAAATTCAAAATGGCAAAGCCGTACAGGGCAATGTAGTGCAGAGAGTAAAGAACAATAATAAAATATAATTAAAATAAATTAAAATATATACCATAAAGTGGAATATGGTAAGTTTGTGTACGATTTACTGCATTTAACGATTGATTAATTCATTTTGTATTAGGCTATCAGATGTAAATTTACACTTCTACACTGTAAATTGTTCAAATAATGTAAATAAGCTATCTGAATGCAGTAAAGTTCTCTAACTGATCCATGGGATTGCAGCCATCCTCTACGATATTTGCATGCTTTTATTTTTAAGGCCAACTTGCAGGACTTCCTGTTTTCTGTCGGCTAACCACGTCCAGCTCGACGCATCTCTTTTTTACTCTCAGCCCCGACAAAACATAAGTCTCTCGGTTTTGGCTGGCAGGCAACGGAAGACAACTGAACACCAGCAGTACGGAGAGATTATATTTACCTCCAACTGTACCAACCCGAGCAGGCTCTCTCTTCCCCGGCGTCCAGCTGTCCGTCGGTGCCTGCCACTGTTGTTCTCCCCAAGGTTTTTAGACAGACTTTAAGTCGCGGTGCTCAGATTGTCGGCAGAGTAATAATAATAAAACAACAACAACAACGGATAAATAAATAAAAAAGCGAAATAGCGGACACGGTTTGGGGTGAATATGCATGCTTATATGATTGCTGTCTTTTGAAGGAGGGGGTGGGGGGGGTGGGGGGGGATCCAACACAGAGCTGTAGTTTCTCTTCAAGAGGCGAGGAATGCAATCTGAGCATCAATGTTTCACTGGGGCAAGTGGAAGAAGAGGATGGGAGCCAATAGTTCTTCAAAGAGACCAGTTTTCGATGAGAAGGAAGATGGTAAGTGATGGAAAAGTGAAGCGCATGTTCTCTACATAAACCTTTACTATAGCCGAGAGTTCCAGCTGTGTGTGATTCACCTGTGTGTTTCTTTATGGGATGTTGGATGGAGTTGAGCTGGGAAGTTGAGGAAGTTTCTCCCAGATAGGGATTGAAATGTTGAACACTGTTGCTGTTCAGGCTGTTTGGGAGGTGCTGGTGGCTGGGGGGGGTTTCCCCTACAAGATGTTTCCTACTTTTAACAAAGGATGTTTTTGTGAATCATTTTTTTTGTTGGCCTGCTTTGTGCTCACATACAAGGGGATTTACATTTGCTCTGAATGTACATACACAGAATAAACATCAATAAACAGGAGAGCAAAATCAGTAGGGCTGCACAGTTAGTGGAAATATTAACCAAATGTGGTCATATGCAAATAGCAGAAGCTGTAATTTATTTGATAAAGGGTAAAAATAAACATTTTAATGGAAGATTCTCGATCTACAGATTTTAAGGAGGCATGTTTGTTTGATACAGACCCCCAAAAATGATGATTCTGACTCGTTATTTCAGTGAAAATTAAATTTGTGATGCTCATATGTATCAATATCTGTACAAAATAATCACAGTATGATGTGTTTACCACATCGTGCAGCCCTAATGTAGAGAACAACAGTAACGTGTGTGGACAGTGAAACCACAGTGCAATGGATGCTGTAATAAATATTTCCGTGCAGATGAGGTTATGGGGAATATGTTCATACCAGTGGTTCCCAACCTGGGGGACAGGACCCCCAGTCGGGGACGCTAAAGCTTCATGTGTCTGTATGATTGTTAATAATGATTAAAAAAAATACATAATACAGGCAGAGAATTGTGTAAAAAGTTTCCTAAACAGGAAATAATCTGCTCAGAATGAATCTAAATCTCTCTTTTGCACAAACCTCTTGCAGTTATTGTTTGGGTCCAATGTACAGTTTTGAATATAATATGAAATATCCATAAAATAAGTCACTGAATTATAGAAGATTGGCAAACGGTTGTGAACCAACTGGTATATACAATATGTACAGCATGCACAGATGTGTTTTTAGTGATGATATTTATGTGTACAGACAGTTAGAGGCTCTGTGGCGCTAGCGGAGGGCAGAGGTCGGAGGAGGTTGTGTCCGTGGTGTGCACTGATGTTTCCTGTCCCGTTAAAAGTCCTGAACCGAGGGGCAGTGATCCTCTCTGCAGTCCCGGCTGTCTGAAATGAGGGAGGTGTCGTGTAAAACTTCCAGCTAGCAGCTAATCTATCTGTCACTTTTATTATCCGTGGAGCAGAGGCGTTAATAAAAGAAGTAGAGTAACCTTAGATTTGTATTCTCATCACACCCAATAACGCCTACGTAACACACTGACAGCGTTTCCTCTTCAAATTACGTCCAGATAAAAAGTGTCAGAGTGGAATATCTGCTGCTCGTACTGTGAGGAAATATCAACGCCTGTATGCACTCTTTGAAGTACGCACCATTTGAAGACAGATAGTTAATTGCATAATTAGGACAAGATTAGTGTCATGCATGGAAGTAATGTTAATTCATGATCTCTTGCTGCTACTGTATCGGAAATAAGCCTCTCGGAAGTGCACCCAATAAGCTCGGCACTGAATCTCCGTGATAGACTGCAGAAATCCAGTGTTGCAACATCGCCAACCTGCTGGCCAAGTTACAGGCAGAACTTGAGTAAATGAGGTCAGTTCACTGCAGGAATGTGGTCATATGGCCTCTGTGTGTGTGTGTGTGTGTGTGTGTGTGTGTGTGTTTGGTGTGTGTACATGTTCCTACATAAAAGGATAACCTAATTAAGCTTACAGCTTTTTGTCAATAGCCTTCAAGAAACGTGTGCAGCTCTAATTCAGCCTGCTGTCCAGGGGAGGGGTTGTTGAGTAGAATAGGAGTGGCCCTACAGCATTAAGTGGTATGTTTTCTCACTCTCTCGCAGCAGTTGGTCAAAACCACGACACACACACACACACTGGTTAATGCACTGATTCTCAAACTGGCTGCCTCTAGCAGTAGTCTGAGGAATTAAAACAAAACTGAATTAATTCAAAAACATATAATGCTGTCAAACTGCTGCAGATATTCTTAATTTCCTGTAATATTTCGATCAAATATTAGCCATGCACGTAGCGCAGGCATACATCCATGATTAGCTGTGAGCTGAAATGTGATGGTAAGACAGTCAGCGGAGGTAAAATTAATAGTTCAAAAACACTGCAATCGTGGCTCCGAACGGAAACTATTGGGAAGAGAAGTGTGGACCAGACCTGGAAGCTCTGTCCGTTATATATACTGTCAGTGGTCATAATGTTGTTACTTGGACAGCCTCATATTTTCTGAGGTGGAACACGGTGCAAAAGGTTGTTGATTTTCTTGGCTCATTTCTGTTCCTATAGCTGCTCTGTGGAGAAACCTTGAGGATCAGGGCTGAACCCTTCAAGGCTGAAACATATGTGAAAAGAGAGAGCAAGCTTATCTTTATTATCAGACAGAAGTGCGTTTCTATATCCTCCCATCATCAGTATGAGGCAGCTGTCACTTGTCTGACCTACAAAACACTAACAACTGCTGCTGTGTTTCAGTTTCTGTCCACTGTGTCAAGAGTCAGTGCGCATACCTGCCTTTTTCACAACCATTGTCATGATGCACAGACTGAGGTCCACACTGATCTTTGTAGTAAAGATTCGTTTGATGTAATTATACAATGTAGCTGGCAGGGTGTCCCTTTATGAAACACTGTTCTGCTGCGCACACAGTGAATAGTAAGTATGGAGTAAAGTGGGAGGAGGGCGCATACGCATTGAAAAGAGACAACTGTTAACATCAGTCTGATCACCTTGAACACTTGTGAAGAGCTGATTCTGCACAGTGTACAGTCTTTGTAAAGCAGCTGCTTCTCTTTTGCCCAGTTCATCTTTCAAAGGGCTGCCTTAGCGCTGATAACAGTCTGGGAAAACCACGGTGCACTGCATTGTGGATGCTGACTGACTCGAGATGTCTCTTGCTGCCTGTCAGGTCTCTTAGAAACAGTATCTCTTGGCTTCTTGGAAAACAGCATATGGCCTACATTAGGCAGTAATATTAGAGCAGCGTTTGGCTCAAAAGGCTGCAAACATAATCAGGCGGTCAGGTTGATGTCCAAGCGTAGCTGCCAAAAGGGCTTTTTTGGCAGATAGTTTGATTAGCAAAGGAAGGCTGTGGAATTGATTGAGGTGCACATCCTGCATGTTTCTGCATTGCTTTTCTCACTGAAACTCTTTGACAACAGCATCCAGGGTGAGGAATGAATATAAGTCAGTGGTAGATAAATGATGGTTAAGCAGGTCTGGTCTGTTAGACTCTCGAGCGTGTCTTTTATCGTCATTCATCAGAGAAGTCTCTTCTTATTCTCTTTGGCTGTTTAATCAGTGAACATAGCTCGTTAAATCTAAGATGTGCCGGACTATTTCTAGGATGGGTAGTCGTCACTGCGAGGTTGCGAGGCAACCATTGTAAGTCACTGCGCCCGGCTAAGAGATAGTTCAGAACATAACCGTTGTGTCGTTTTTACAGGCTAGCTGTTTCTCCTAACTAGCTCGACCTTCTCCTCTAACTCTGTGAATAAAAAGAAAGCAAATACCCAAAATGTTGAATTAGTCCTTTTTTAAATTAAGCAATGGCTAGTTGAGTGCCTTCTTCACCGGCTGTTATTTATATTTTTCGCTAAACAAATGAAAGTTTTCCTTTCCTTTGTGCGGCACAAACACACAGAAAAACGTAATTGTGGGATTTAGTGGCATCTAGTGGTGATGTTGCAGATTGCAACTAACTGAACACCACTGTTGGTGTATTTGACAACCTGGGAATGAGAACGGGCCATGAAGTGTGCAGGAGAAACTATGGTGGCTGCAAACCCTGCAAAAAATGGCCTATCTAAAGCCAGACATAGCGGTTCAGTATGGCGGAATAAAAACAGCCCATTCGTGGCTGCTGGTCAGAGCACATAAGATGTCACTTTGACTACTCCTGGTTGGTATTGTGCCTGTTTCTTACAATTTTATGGCCGTAATGATTCATTAATCAGTTGGGCGAATGATCAACACAATAACCAATAAAGAAAATCATTAATTGCTGCCCTAATGAGTTTTACTCCACATGTTGTTAACACAGTAGGAGCTGTGTATCGACTGCTCGGTTTAACCATTAGCCAGGCTCTAGACAAAGGAGCACTTCACTCTCTCCAAGTCCTCGTCTGAACTTGGAACAGCACTAGCTTGTCGCTTTTCTGAAAGAGGGCACTTGTTGTGAATGTGCTACAGTATTTCAGGAGAGAGTGCAGAATTGACAAATGCCTTTTTTAATTGAGCATGGGAACGGACTCGGTGTACTTGTTATTTTTGCTCCAAAGGATTTACAAAGTATTCAGAGTGTGCGTGTGATTGTGCACGCAGAAGATGCTGTTAATTGTGTTGTTACATTGTTCTGTGCATGTGATCATCCTTGGTAAGCCAAAGGCAGATTTACACTTCTATGGACGATAAACTTCTATTCTTTGTGTAGGCGACGTGTGTGTGTGTGTGTGTGTGTGTGTGTGTGTGTGTGTGTGTGTGTGTGTGTGTGTGTGACTGCTCTTCCTGTCACGGATAAGTGTATGAAAGCAGATTTGGTTGAGGATAAAGATAGATGCAGAGAGAGATGGCTGATTACTTGCACTGAATACTGAGGCTCTCACTTTCTTTCATCTTTGTTACATACTCTCAATTTCTCTCACTCTCTTTATTCAACTCCACGGCTGCCTACAGCTACTGGCCTCTTGCCACAGCTGAGGGCCGCCATAATAGGCCTCAGCAGTAACGCAGTCGGCAGGGAATACTGTCGTGGTCAGATTGCAGCAACATCTGATCGCAGAGCGGAGCCACACTTCAGGTTGTTGAATATATCCTGTGTAGAAATGTAACACTTGTAATGATCAAATGTATAGTAACAGCTTATTT